GACGTAAATAATGCATTTTTAAACGGGGATCTTTTTGAGGAAATTTACATGGATTTACCTTTGGGTTTTTCTAATGTCTCTGCTAATGTGGTGACAGGAAGTAAACTTGTATGTAAACTTCATAAGTCGATTTATGGACTTCGCCGAGCTTCTCGACAATGGTTTTCTAAGTTTTCTCATACTCTCACTGCTCATGGATTCCATCAATCCAAAGCTGATTACTCTTTGTTTACTAAGGGTTTAGTATCTTCTTTTGTTGCTTTACTCGTTTATGTCGATGATATTATTATTACAGGATCTGATCAGAATGTCATTACCTAATTGAAAATATTCTTGCATAGTCAGTTTAAACTCAAAGATTTGGGGAAGTTGAAGTATTTTCTTGGTCTTGAAATAGCCAGATCATACAAAGGCATATGTTTATCTCAAAGAAATTACACTTTACAGTTACTGGAAGACACTGGACTTCTGGCGTGCAAGCCAGCCAAGTTACCTATGGATCCTAAGATTCGATTAAGTTCTGAAGATGGGGATTTGTTATTTGATGTTGATGCCTCTTCTTATCGAAGGTTGATTGGCCGCTTGCTTTACTTATCCATCTCTCGACCAGATGTTACCTTTGCAGTCCATAAGCTCAGTCAGTTTGTGTCCAAGCCTAGGCAGACACACTTTGATGCAGCTCATCATCTTCTACGTTATCTCAAGTTAGCTCCAGGTCAAGGGTTATTCTTTTCAGCCAATTCTTCTATGCAGCTACGTGCATTTGCTGATGCAGATTGGGACTCTTGTCTTGATTCCAAGAAGTCCATTACCGGTTTATGTGTTTTCCTTGGAGATTCTCTCATTTCCTGGAAAGCCAAGAAGTAGCAAACCGTCTCCAGGTCCTCTGCGGAGGTAGAATATCGAGCTTTAGCAGTAGCTACCAGTGAATTAACTTGGATACATCAGTTATTGCTTGATTTGTAGGCTATCTCCACAGCTTCTACTGTGATTTTTTGCGACAATCAGGCTGCACTCCATATCGCCAGCAACCCCATTTTCCATGAATGAACGAAACATATCGAAATAGATTGCCATTTTGTTCGTGATAAGCTGGCTGATGGTTCGATCAAACTACTGCCTGTACGGTCTCAACATCAGTTGGCGGATTTATTCACCAAAGCATTGCCAGCTTCGTCTTTCTTTCACTTACTTTCCAAGATGGCTATCATAAACTTACATGATCCATCTTGAGGGAGGCGTATTAGACTCAGTGGCTCTGCAGCTCCAACACCTCACCTCAACTTCAACTTGGCTCTGCAGCTCCAACACTTCAACTCGGCTTCAACTAATTATGGGCGCCAAAATTAGTTAATAACAGCTGTCAATTAGTTGGCATTTAGGCGGCAAAGCTAGATAGATATTTTCTGTAATTCACCTATTTAAACCATTCGACATTGCCATTGTTTTTGAGTTAGTTAAAACCAATAACATCTCTCTTCTCCATTTTCTCATTTTTTCTTCAATATAAATGCTACTAATGAATTGAACAAAATTACTGTAGATTCAAAGATTGTATTGAAAAATAATTCAATGTTTACACTATCCAAAATAAACAAAGGCAAAGAATCGCTTCGAGGCTAAATGATGGCCATTTTATTTCTAAGTCGAGAATGAAGATCATGTCTAATTTCATCAAGTAAAGATTAAATTAGGTAACAACTATGTTTTGCTTCCCCTTTTTAAGTTGATTAGGCAATCGCTTACATTATATTTTATTTTAATTTCTTTATTTTAAATAATTGTACATGAAAAAGTTATGTACAAATTACCCAATTCCCTACTTTTCAAGATCTATGTTTCAAAATCAGATTTCAAGTTTTAATTTTCAAAAACTAGATATTTTTAATTAGATACAGATTATAATTATATATATACAAATTATATTTTAATTTTATCCCAATTAATTTCATCACAAATCAAACCCTAAATTCACTTCCTCTCTCTCTACATTTCTCCCCCGACTCCCAACCCCGTCGCCTTCCTCTCTCTCTTTTCTCTAACCGACGACTTCTACCAGTGATGCACAGATCGTCGGCGACTACTAATCCACAGCCACAGCTCGCCGCCTTTCTCTCTCTCTTTCTCTACATTTCTCCCCCCCACCCCCAAACTCGTTCTCTCTCTACCCCCTCCTCTCTCTCGTAGCCGTCGACCCCACCACAGCCACGATCTGAAGTGGTGATTGTGGTGTGGTGCAGAATTTTTTATTTTTGTTTCCTTCTGTTTTTGGTTCTCAGATCGTGAGGTAGTGGCGGTGTTCGTGAAATCCATTCAATTCGTCTCTCATGCGAATTCTTTGAAGTTTCTATTGTGGTATTCAACTTTTGTTGCATAGTGGGACAATTAATTTGGGGTCTATAGTTGAAACTTGCTGTACTTTTTTCGCCCATTTTACTACTATTACCCGTTTACCTCTCTCTTGTTCTCGAATACCTTGCTGCTAAGGTCCGTGAATGTGATTTTAAATTTTTGTCGTGTTTATGTTGGTGGTTGTGATGATAAATGTTTCTGATTGTGGTTTTCGATTGTGGTTCTCGAATACCTTGCTACTAAAGGATGTAAATGTTTCCGATTGTGGTTTTCAGATTGTGAGGTGGTGGCAGACAAGTTGGTCCTGGATTTTTAGTTGTATTTCCGTTAGTGGTGGTTGTTATGGCGGTGTCGGCTTTTTGGGGTTTTTTTTTTTTGGTTTATGTTTGTGTGTTTCAAATTGGAGACAATGGGCGATTGGGTGCTGGTGGTTGTGAAGTTGGTTGCGGGTAGTGGTGGTTGGTGGTGGTGGTTTGTGCGACGACGATTATGTGGTTGTAATGTGGTGGCGGATCGGCGGGATCTCGTGGTTTTTGGTTGTGGTTTTGGAAATGACGATGTTACTATTGATTGTCATGGTGTTTAGGTAGTGGTGATGTTGGTCGTGGTGGTTGTCATGGAGACGGTGGTAGTGGTTGTGGTCGTGGCGATAGTGCAGAGATAGTGGTGGCGTATCTGGTCATTTTGATTTTCTGTGACTAAAAATATAATCTGTGACCTTAAAATTCGATAACCTGTGATTAAAAATATAATCTGTGACCTCAAAATTATATAATTTGTGATCGTAAAAAAATCCTTGGCCAAATAATTTGGAAATCTGTGTTCGTGTGATCTTTTGTGACTAAAAATATAATCCGCGACCTTAAAATTCGATAATCCGTGACCAACTATTTTGTTATCTGTGACCGTGTGACCTATAAAAATGTTGTGACCAAAAATCAATATTAACAAGTCATGTGTTTGTAGAGTCACGATTCAAAAATATATGTTACATTTACCGGAATAGTCATTGGAACGATTATAGGCATAGTCGCCGAAATCGGAGAAGTCACCGAAAACGGCCACCGGAATAGTTGTCGGAATCGGAGCGGTGGTCGAAATCGAATGGTCACCCGATTGTCGGAGCGACATGGTGGTGGAGATGGGGTGAGTTATATATATATCTTTTTATATATTTACATATATAAATAAATAATATATAAAAATATATATGTATTTATATGTCAAATATCTGATTTTTGAAATTTAAAAGTTGTTTTCTTATTTTTGAAATGGTGTATACTTAAAGTAGGATTTATGAATTTTTCCCAAAAGTTATTCTTGGTGTTATTTTAACTCTGCCCATGTATAAGCATAGCCATCCCAAGCCTAAATAAAGGAAAATGATTTAGTATTTCAATCTTTCAATATTGTATTTATTAAAAAAAAAAATCGAAAAATCAATGGGACAACAAACGGGCCCAGGAAGGGCTCCTACAATGGACAGGCTGTGCTAGGCCCACTGATGAAAGGGTTGGGCTGACCCGGACGGACCAGATCCTTTTGACACCCCTTGTCAAAGAGTGGAAATTTCATGTACATTTTCAAGTGTCAGTGATTGTTAAAATAAATTCTCAATGCATAAATAGAATTTTTATATTAAAAATCTACAAGTTGATGGATACATTGTTGTTACTAGGATGATGATCTTCTTGACTTGTGCCGACGGATATGAGCTTCCCACGCTTAGAGGCCTTCAGACCTTTTTGTTCCTCTTTTCCCGTCTGTATATGATGCATTTTCTTCTCATTTACTGCTTTAAACTTTTATTCCTTTGACTAGAGATTAGATATATGTTCCTTCTCCGTTGTATTAATTTATTTTCATTTATATCATGGTACGAGAATCCTAAACCCCATAACTTTGTCTTGGTAAAGCCTAAAAAGCATGCCAACATTGTCATGATAATTTATTTGAAGAAAGAAAATGAAGTAGTCGATGGATTTCTTCATGCTCGTTCCAAGTTCGAAGTACCATTTGAACAAATAAAATCCCCTTCGTTACACGATCACTTCTTCATACTACTATGAAGGTGAGTTGTTTACGAATCAAGTACTTCAATAAACTGGGGCATTTAATTCCTACACTATGCATTGATGCCAAATGTTCAGGTTATGCCTAGCATGTCCCTAGCAGCACAATGTGTCAAGGCTGGATTAAGATTCCAAACTCGTTTTTATCTTTGAACATTGTCGACTATGTACATTCCACCTTATCAAACAAGCAAAAAAGTAAAATCTACCTTGATGGTTCCCTGAAATTCTATGCTGGCTATAAGTGCATGCACCACGCCAAGATGATTGATTGCACACTTGTGTTCGACAATGTGTTCAATCCGGTCCAGTACTGTGTACTTACTAATGAATCCCATATGACAAATTAAACGCCGTGGCAATTTGCAATTTCAGGTGGTAAAGAAACCCCGAATGGTCATGAAATTTCAGTTGAAGCATCCACCCAAAAAGCAGGGCTCATGACAATTGCATGGTCGACAACTTGGGCAATTTAAGCAAACAAGCAACTAATAGCAATCCTATATATACTCCTCTGTACAAGCAAATACAGTAACACTTTGATTATTTGGTCTAAATTTCTTGAAAGAGAAGGAAATGGCTCGCCTACTCGGAATTCTATCAATCTTTGTACTGTTAGTGTTAAGGCCAGCCAGGGCCGCTGCACCTTCATGCCCAACAGTCACTGCGAAACTGGCCTCGTGCATATCATACATAGATGACCAATCTACACAACCAGCAAGCGCTTGTTGTGCAGGAGTGAAGGCAATCCTTGCACAAGCAAAATCGAAACAAGATAAAATAGCCGTCTGCAAATGCATAAAATCAGCCTTAGCTAATCTGGGAAACAAGGTTGACACGGGTCGAGTTTCTGGTCTTCCTAAGATATGTGGGATGTCCGTTAATCTGCCTCCAATTAATAAAAACTACGATTGTTCAAAGTAAGTAGACTTAATTCTATCTCTTCGTTCCCCAACTTGCAAAAAATTTGACTTCTGGTTTTTCTTGTGCAGGATTTCTTGGATGGAGTTGTCTCACTCGTGAGGGCTCAATTTATGTTATAATCCAAATAAAATTATGAGTAGAGAGATGTTTAACTTACCTAAAAGTAAAATAACGACAGCTTATGTTTGGATGATTAAATCATCTGCAAAGCCTGTAATGCACTGAAATGTTCTGCACCTCCAGTTTCAAGGAGATTTGTGTAACAATATTCTAAAATAAAAGGTATGGCATAAAAGGTGAATAATACGACTTGATTGATCAATCAGGACATGTTTTGAAAATCAAAACTTCTTGTGAACTTTGGAGATGACAAATAAGTATGACAAACTATCTTCTGTTAAAAAACTTGAAAATGAAGAAGTAAACATGCAAGAGAATGGTCAGAATGAAAATACAATCGTTCAATAATTTTTATTTATTATTCATTAGAATTCAAAAAAATGGAAATATAATCTATGCCAACATCTAGCGCATCACAATTACTAATAAGGTTTAGCTTTGTAAACCCAATGCACGCAATGAAAAACTGAGCGTTATTCTTAATAAATTTAGATCAATGTGAATTCTTACATAGATGAACACCATTAATGTCCAAATCATTGTAGTACTAGAAAACACGACAGAGCATGATAACATCTTGCTCTTGGAGATTTATTGTGTTCAGTATTTGTTGCATAAATTAGGATTACGAAAAAATGAAACTAAATAACAGGACTGCTTGATTAACACAGAATCTACACCAGATCAAAGATAATTTTGCCTGTGTATAGGCTCAACATCCCTAATAGACATTTTTGCTTTAAAAATTATTCTGCATCGACTTCACTCTAGACTAAATTGTTAGATTCATGGAGATGAAGATATCTCACCTTAAGCTAGGAGTTTTCTTCGTCCATAGGTGGAGATGACGGCCCAGGAACAGAATCAACGAAGAACTCCTCCACTGAAATGAAGNAAAAAAAAAAAAAAAAAAAACACCCAGAAGTGTTACTTCATTATGTGTAGAAATGAACTAATAAACAACCTAAACATAGCCAAAGTTTTACAAGCATAAAGACTTGTGGATTCATAAGGGATAACAAGAATTTGGAGAGACAATTGAGAATGAACCATATTTATATTGTAAGCCCCCTCCTCAGAAAGCTTAGTGGTCTTATTTATATATTCCAACCAAAATCCCAGTGGTCGAAGAAAATCTAAAAATTGAATTTGGCCATTTATGAAGTGACAGTGATATGTCTGCCTTTATTACACGCTTCTCTGTATTTTTGTTTATCAACTGTTTTTGGCTCTAATGAGCGGCGTACAATATACTTATATAATATATCATACATTTCGTTGAAATTGAAGCCTTTATCAATTCAACACTCCCTTCGCCTCAAGGTTATGGTCTCTTCCCATTTTTTGGGTAATCCAATATTATGAGTTCTTCAAATGTTAAAGTCAAGTACTTCAATATTTGTGGAAGTAATCATCATTTTTGAGTAACAATTAGCTGCATGATGTTTACATAAATGAACATAGAGATAAAACCTGCAACACAAAATGATTGCTGCATAAGACAACGAGAACTCTACCCCGATTCGCAGCTATGTAGCGAAGGTAAATATAATCAGGAATGATTTCACAGCAAACAAGGCTTTATGGAATTAATTAGCCTTCTAATTTAAACTCATTAATGAAGCTTTACAAAGTAGCATCTATGTCAAAGGAGGTTTGAGTCCTTAAAGACTTGACTAGAAGAACATTACACTACTCAAAAAAAGGCATCATATTAGCACTTTTATCTCCCTAAATTTTGTCAATTTCAATAGAAGCAAAGTATATTTAAGGAAAGGGCTGTTTCCCTTTATACCTATATCCTCTTGCTCTGGAGAATCAAGAAGAATATCCGAATCCGAAGGGAAAAATGGGGAACCTGAACAATTTCCAAGAGCTCCTAGATCTGCAAATATTTTCAATGCAACAGGCACCATCAGTTGTTAAAAGGGGTCGAGGAAAAGAAAAAAATAGCAGCATGAAGGAAAGAGGATTTTCTTGCTAATTGTTATATCAAAACATATAACAACAATTGATTGTGGGAGGTATTACCTCCCAAGTTTGATAGGTCTGCTGTTAGGTCCGAGAGGCTGAAATTCCAAGATAACTGAGCCCACGAACTGAGGGAATCTCTAGAATTCCCGCTACCATTATCTGCTGGAAGCTGTAGTCCTACTGAACTAGCTACATCAGACGTAAATGCCATATCAAGTGCTGATGTTTCTATTCCCATGCTCGATATCTCTGATGCACTGAAGGGGAAATGGCCACTCGAAGCCACTGATGTTGGGCTCACTGGCATATCTGACATGGATAGCATTGCATTGTTTGGCGGTATTGTGGGTGCATCAGTTCCGTTGGTGTCAATCACCATACTTTTTAGAGCAAAAAAAAAAAAAAAAGAGAACTATGATTGTCAGCAGAAAATCCAGAACTACAATTTATAATAGTTTCATCATAGAAATTTCATATATCTCTAGAAATTTATGACTAACTCGATTTTATTTAGTAATTTTTTTCTGTTTCAATGAACTTCAACAGAAAAAAGAAAACGTAATGATCCATCTGACAATGAACTTCTAATAAAAAGATTCAGGCTTCAAAATCACATTAATACCCTTAAGAGAGATTGAGAATATATTTTTGACACTGTTCTGGGTGAAGATTCACTTTGGCAACATATCAAAGATCTGGTTAATAGAAGGGGAAACAACTTAGCAGCTCAATTACTTATGAGGTGAAGAAATATGTTCCAGATGTCGAATGGAAAAGATACTTTGGTGGCATATTTGCGTACTAATTGGCATAAAGGATCACAAATCAGAATGAGATGTAGCTTACAACTTTATCCTTGACGAGTGGTACAATCATTATAGTTCTCGTGCAGGTTTACATATAACAAGACAAAAAGACATATGAAGTGACATGATTCAATAAGCATATAAATAAAAGAGATTTAGGGAACTAGATGAAGGAAGAGACACTCTTGATATTTCAAATTCTTTTCAAATGTCAGACATGAGGGAAAAATAACAGAGAGCTGATGCTACTAGAGAAGAGAGTTCTCACTCATTTCCAGAATTCATCCGTATTGGATGGAAATTGCCCGTGCCTGGCGTGGGAACTCCATTTACTACGTGACAGCCATTTGTGGAATAACCCATAGAATTAAGAAGAGGTTGCCCTGTAGCTGGAACTGGAGGCTGGTGCACAACAGGATATCCCATTGGTAAGTTGTTGACTGCACTGCAAACAAGCGGCATTGAATAATGACGATAAAATAACATGGAAATTGCAATTTAATATACAAATAAATAGCTTTAGATAGCTTCAGTTCAACCCTTTCAGTGACCTATTTGTTTACATCCTACTCAAAGAAAAGAGATAATTGCCAAAATCACAAAGGTTGGTTCCAACAGAAGAAGGCCGGCCACGAACACCATGATCTCGACAGCGAAATCCTCTTCTCATGACAAATTTCTGATCAAGTAAAGGACCTCAAATTGAACCATAATAGCAACAAGATTATTCAAATATTCAAATAGAGATTTTAAATAATTGCCATGAATCTTTTTTTGTCAAACCATGGGACGACCTATTTGTTTTGCCATTTAAGTAGAGCGATCAGCTTTCTGATGATTAAATGATTGCAATATTTTCTGAGAAAAAACTTACAAAAAATGTTTTTCTACCAAATCCTTAATGACTTTGCAGTACAAGAACAGCAATTCAATTCTATTAAATCTTTTAAGATTATTGTGGCATCAGGAATGAGACTTTCGTCATACCGTTGGCAGACAAATATACTATTAATTTAATTATTATTATTTTGGGGGGTGGAGGGTGGGTGTGGGGGGGGGGGGGGGGGNATGAAAGGGGACAAATTAAGACAGAGATGTGCATCCATTGAACCTAAGTTAACAATGAAGAATTAAAAGATGACTTTTATTTTGCCCCAACAGGTGTTTTAAATCTCTTTGAAAAAAATAACAGAAATTAAGATTTACCTGGCATTTGATTAATTTCATTCTGCAAAGGAGCCAATGGAACCTTCATAGGCACTGGATACTTCATTAGACGATACTGATGCTCAAGCAAGTGATTGAATAAGATAATTTGTTTCTTCAATTTAAGCCTTATGTAGTAGCCCCGGAAAAAGTCAGGATTTTCTTCTTCTAATTTCTGCCACACTGTATCGAGAAAGAAAAAAAGGAATAGTAATGAATATAGAAGCTTCAGCATTGTAATAACATCAAACTTTGATCCTTATAGCAGCATATATCAAGCTAGCAACTAAACATAGTACCCAGATGCCAATGCATAGAAAGTTTCTTCTGATAACCTGAGGAATACCTACCTAATGTTGTGAACCCGGGATCTATCCTGGCGCGACTCAGTAGGTTCTTTACCACCTCATCCCTATTCATGTATAACTGTAGGCACCGTTCGATCAAATTCTGGACCTATAGCAGATTATGATTACATTTCGATATGAGTATTGCAGCCAAAAATTCTTTATGGAATTCCAAAAATAAGAAAAGGTTAAAAGAGAAATTGCCTTACAAGTTCAATATCCTCTCGTGAAACTTTTCTGTTATCAACGCTTGATGCTGAAATTGAACCTGAATCTGGCACTGGAGACTCTTCAGCATTCTTTGGTTGTTCATTTTGGGACTCGTGTGAAACCTGATTAGCAGGATTAATTCCAGATGGATTGTGCGGATCCTGAAAAAGTTCTTCATTTGGTCGTGAGCTGATTAAGACAGTGATGCCTCAAAGCAAATGTGAAGCAGAACAAAGAAAGATCATAAACAGAAAATGTCTTTTATACAGAACAAAAGGAGCTTTGCAGTTGTAATATATCAACCTGTGTATTCTTCATTTTAGTTAAATGAAAGCTGGCTGTAGACATCCATGAGGCTCTTATATCTTACTATCCTCTGGTTTAAAACTGCCTCAGCTTCTAGACAAAAAATCTGTGAATAAACTGAAGTACTTCT